ACGCGCGCGCAGGGATGGGCTGATGACGGATCGATCTTTTGTCTATACTGGGTTGCGAATAAACGACGCACTGCGGCCTTCGTTTATTCCCGATAGGTGTATCTAGCAGACGCGCTCAGGGCCTTCTTCTAGATACCGTGACTTCAAGTATGTAAAGACGCACTAATGGCCTTCTTTATCACACGTTAAGAACATAAAGTTCCCCCTCAAGATTGGCTCACCAATTCAATACTTTATTCAACTTCTAAAATATGATGAGGTACATGGGGTATTTATTGTTGTAAAATAAATCTATGCCTAAATCTAATAGATCTCCTAAATCATGCAAGAATAGAAATCCTAACTCTAGAAAGCAATAAAATCCTAAAGCTACCAAAATACTAATGCTTGGCTTGCACACCAAGCAAATCTAGAAGCTCCCTAAAAATAACCCTACATGCTAAAAATCTCGGCCCTTTCCATGCGCGCCTCACTTGCGCGCGTCGCACGCGTCATCCGAGCGCCGCCCCTCGTGCTCTCCTAGTCCTTTGGCACTTAGGCTTCGCGCGCGCCCCTCACACGCGCACGCCATTGCGCGTGCTTCGCTCGTGTCGTCCGTCCTGCGTGCGTGCCCGTCACCTCCCAGCACTCCTATGCCTGCTAGGACTCGATCGTCCGCCCCAGCCAGCGCATCACCCGTGTCGCCTAATCCTTCGCAGCTTAGGACTCCACCCGCGTAGCCCATACTCGCGCGCTTGTCGCGCGCCTCGTCCCTGTCGACTTCCTCGCGCGCGTCTTCGCCAACGCCCCAGCCCTCATCGCCTACGGTGCACCCCACCGCGCCTGCTCTTTCGCGCGTTGCGTCCATCGCCCGCGGGCTCCGATCGCCTCCTGCGCATTCCCGTGCGCCCGCTGCGTTGCGTGCACCCTCCCCGTCATCGGACTGCTCACCCGTGCGCCTATCGCACCCCATCGTTACGTCATTGAACGCCAACGCGTCCCAGTCGACGTCCGCGACTCGCCCCCCAACCGAACTCCCGCACACATCATCCTGCTCCGTCCATCCGCGCGCATCATGGGCCGATGCGCGCCCTTCGCGTATTAGCCGCTCGCCGTCCTTCTTCTCGTCGGCGGTCACCTTCATTGGTTCGGGCCATGGGTCCCAACCTTTCAGTCTCACACAGTCGTCCACCGGTATCCACCATCCATCCTTCACCCATCGCAAGCCACGCCTTTTAGCCTCTTTCATTTGAGCTTGTCTTTTCTTTGCACAAGGTTCGCACCTACATTGGCTTGCTCTTCGGGCTCTTGCCTTGCGTTGTCTCTTGGTCGTCCGTTTCCTCACTTTCGACTTCAGCTTTGGCCCACAACCTTTTGGCCAATCTTGTACACATGACGGTCGGTAAATAGGACTAGATGGCGCCTCAAACATGTTTTCCAGCCAAATATCGAGACTGTCGCCATCATCATCGTCGGACTCACCGGGGTTGATGACCACTTCCGTTTCATGGGCGCGCAGGCGCAGCGTGATGAAGATCGTGTGTCTCGACTGTCGACAAGCCGCTCTCATGCCTTAAATCGCTCGATAGGTGTTAGGAAGTCGCACACTCGCAGCCTTTCTAATGAATATAATTGCAATAGAATTTTGGTGAAAAAACTAAAGCAAAGAGAGAATGAACAAAAGTTCTTGATTTCTATTAATTCTTGGATGATTCAATGATGCAAAATAACATAGGGTACATGGGTATTTATAGGAGAAAACTAAATCTAATTCTAATCTAACTAGATCTCCTAAACTGTGCAGTAAATAATTCCTATTCCAACTAAATCTCTAATTAAAGCAATTAAATATTAAATAACCTATACAACCTAGATATTGTTGTGCAAGAAGGAAACTAAATATTCAATAGTCCTAATTGACTAGATAGTCTTGATCTTGTTTGGCTTGCACTCCAAACAATTCCAAATTCTCGCCCCATGTATTTCGGACGCCTCACACGTCCGCCTTTGTGCGTGCGCCGACCTTCGGCCCCTACTCCTGGTCGCGCACGGCTTCGCGCGTGCGCGCCTCATCGCCCATCTCGCCTAGTCCCGCACTGACTAGGCTTTCGCTCGCCTTCCCAGCACGCGCCTTGCCACCATGCTCATCACGCCCGCCGCCTAACTCCCGCGCGTGCGTGCCCTTCTCGCCTACGCCTATCGCGCATAGGCGTGCGCCCGTGTTGTTGTCCCAGCTGGCCTCCCGATCGCCAATCGCACGCCCTTGCGTGCCTCTGCGCTCGCCCAGCAATGTCCGCGTGCATTCCTCATCACACCCACGCATTATCGTGTGCACATCGCCAATGCTGAACGCCAGCGTGTCCCACTCGACCCCCGTGGCTTGCCCGCTTACCGTGCGTATATCATCTTGTTCTGTCCACCCGCGGCAATCTCTCGCACGCATCGACCACCCAACATCCACCCCCTGCGCGCCCCTTCGCCAAACCATCAAGCGCCATGCGCGTCTACGCCAATGCGCGTGTGCGCTCCCTTCTTGAATGCACCTTTTCTCGCGTGTTTGTGCGCCTCGCATACGAGCTCGTACTCGTCTCTTAGGCCATGCATGCGTGCTTTTGGCCCTTTTCTCGGCCTTCTCGGATTGTCTCGACCATTGGCTCTCGGCGTGCTCGGGCCTCGAAAGCCACTTCCGCATCATTCCTCCCCCCTTCGAATGAGTCCTTGTCCTCAAGGACTCGCTAATGACCTTCACTTGGGGTGTGGCCATCACTTCATATGTATTGTCCTCCCCGTGCGTCTCGTCATCATGGCCCTCTTCGACCACGACCAAAATCTCCTCCTCGACCTCGGCTACCTCGACTTCTTTGGACTCGGCTAACGTTCCTTCGACCATGATCTCGCTCGCGACATCCATTAACTCATCTTCGGGCGTGTATTGCTCGACCATAATTTCCACCGCGCACTTATTTTGCTCGACCAATTCGACCTCCATCTCGAACATACCAAGGCCCGTACAAGTCGTTTGCTGGCTGCACCACTCCGTGAGGCGGCTTCCTG